TCGAGGAAATCTAGACACTACAAATTAATCATCATGAGAGAGTTATCAATATTTAATGTTACCCTACAATGATAATTAATAAATTTTCTGTGAGTAAAGGAACAGTATAATATGAAAGTTAGCACCCTACCTCCTATGAGCCTATAGGACCAATCTCAATCAAAATTTGTAGGTAAACACTATGAACTATGGAGAGTGTCCTAATGTGATGTAAGTTGAATTTAATCCTATTTCTATTTTCTATAGCCTGTTGGTTAATTACTTCCAGCCTATTGAGTCAATCTCAAACAATCTTGTGAGGTTGACGCTCTAGACAATGTTGAATATTCTAAAGGGATTCAAGGTCAAAGTATGAAAGTTGCTGGATTGTTTCTCAAACAACTATGCTTTTCTCATGGTCAGTGAGATGTAGGGTGTTCAAGGATGGGATCACTTTAAAATCTTTATTTGTTAGTAGATGGAAAGCAAACTGCAAATGTTGTTTATGAAGAAACTTTATTATAATTTTAACATTTTGAGATCAATTTTATGTTCATGTTATTACTTTGAAATATATGATTGCTTTTAAACTTACATTGTTTTTAATATTAAACCTTAATTGTGTTATAATTTTCAATGGTGTATAAGCTATGACCCAAAATGTTTCGTTTAGGTGTCCAACTAATAAGTAAATTATATCAAGGCAAATGTAATGTTGAAAAGTTATAAAGTAGTTATCTAGAGTATAATATCCTTTAAAATATTTGCCTTTTGTTTCTATTAAAGTGATTTTTATTTATTTAAGCATCAGAAAGTTGTAATTATTAATATTCTGTGTTCATTATGTTTAGCTTATTCTTTCCAAACTATTCTTTCTTTGTTTTATTTGTGATACAGATGGTTTTGTTTCTTTGTGCATCTTACAACTTTAGTTGTACCTACTTTATATTATATGTATGAACCTAATTTTTTCTGTTCCAGATCTCCTTCTGTTAGACCCTTTGCCTTGTGGTTAGCTTTGTGTTAGATAATCTGGTACGGTTTTTGATGTCTGCATTTTATTGGAACAGAATTTTGGATCTTTCCATTTCAGTTATTTTTTCAAGTTTGGAGGTGTTAAGAAATGCCTTTATTAATCAATTGCTAATGGAAGAACCCTTTAGCTCAGTTCAAGAGCATCTAACTGGTGTTCAAGAGGTCTAATTCAAATCCTTCTGGAAGAAAATTACCACAGTCTCATATTTCTTGCAGTCATTTGTATTTTCTTTACTAAGTTTTACAACTAAAAAAAATTTTTTCAGAAAGATTACAAGATTATTTTGTTTCTGTCTGTGATTTTTCTTTGGAATAATCCCTTTTTTTCTGACATTAGGTTGGGATACGTATTATTTGCTGTTAGAATACATTGTAACTGGGGTAATGCCTTCATTTGAAATATCTTTGAAGGTTTCCCCCATAAGTGACAGTACCCCCTTTTTTCAAGAATGGGAAGCTTCTTTTACTTTTATACTGTCATTTTTCTTAGTTTTTTGTGGTTCCTAATTTTGTAATTTTTTTTTGGTTTAAATGTTTCATATGTTTAGTTGCTTTTATTTGCTTCGTGAGGATCAGATTTCCTATTTCTCCATCTCTTCAGTGAATTGCTGGTTTGGTTGTTTACTTTTAAACCTCCTAGTCATATATTCTTCTGCCTATTTACAATTTTTGTAATTTTAACTTCAGGAATTGTATACTGCTTGTTTTTTGTTTATGCTAAAGAGTTTTCACAGTTTCTTGAGGCCCATGTGGTGTTGCCAAATTAGCATGTTTCACTACACTTGGCAATTTTTCAGGTGGCTTTTGTAAGTCTGATAGAGTTGCATTCAGCTCTCACTTTTAAGTTTCTCATTTGTGTTTTTTTCAGTAGTAGTGTTACTCTTCCAGCTCGGGGCTTTTTGTATCTTGGTTCTAGATTGAGCCGTCAAGGGGTCACATGACTTTTCATCTCCAGTCGATACTTCTAGTTCGTACTGATTCTTCCCAAGCTGTATTCCAAAAATAGGTTACATTGTTTTTCCTTTTATACCTGCACATTCAAGTTTCAAGTCACGTAGGTGCTGATTTATGGTAATTTACTTTTGTGAACCATCCCACAGTATTAATTTCATCTTCCTTCAAAATTCATACTGTATAATCTGTTGTATTAGGAGATATTTCTAAATATAGGATCTAAGAATATCACAGACCTTATTATTAGTGGTTCTTTATGGGTTTATTCTTCATTTACTTGTTGGACCCAAAGAAACAGATGACTGAATTGTCAAAGGTTAAACACTGCCTTTTTGTTTCTTATTGGATAGTTTGAGGGTGTTTTTTTTTGTTGTTTTCTTTTTGTTAATGTTCAGTACATATGTGCAAATTCCCATAAAGTCTGATTGTTGAATATTGCCTTATTTTGTTCATTGAAGCTTTATAATTTCTTCAGTTTGATATGGTTAGTACTCTATGTTTTCTCCAGCTTAATCTGAGTTTTTGTTGCTTGAACTATACACCCAAGCACAGATTTTAATTTTAATATAGGTAATAAGTTTGTTATTGCCAAGAAAAAGTTGGAATCAAAATATGCCACAGAAGAAGCTGTATGTAGTGGCACACATGGCTCAAGGTTTAGAGATTCTCACATCTTGTATCTTTCTCACTCAGTTTTTATGTAGGGTTCTCTGACCATGTTCAAATACCATCCAAATTATCTTGAAGACTGATTCACTCCGTTCTTTCTTCATCTTTTTGTGTGTGTGATCTTGTTGTATGTCAAGTTGTATCTCTTTTGGAGTCATTAACTTCTAATAAATCCCCTTTTTTTCATTGGTCTTGCACATTTCAGGGGTCTTCAATGGACAATGAAAATTCAGTAGAATAACCTAAACACAGCTTGACTTTACTCTTTCTCCTTCCTTTTATATTCAGAGATCTCTTCAGAGGTGATTTATCAGAGTCTACATCATTGATGGAACTCCATGTTGTTCATCCATGCTACATCTTTCTTTATCAGTGCCTGCTGGTCTGCATGGTATTGTCACTGATATTTAGGATGTTTCTAGAGTTACATGCTATAGTAAAAACTTGCAGATCCCATCTTAGCCTTCTTTATGGCTAAGTGGCTCTGATTCATTGCTCTAATTCCATTCTTGTTTTTTATCTCAACTAGCAGGAAAGTACTTTTCCAATGTTTTGGATTTTCATAGACTAGATCAGGTTGTTTTGAGGGTGGTACTCATTCAGCACGATCTCAACCTTCCTGTATTTTTCCACTCATTTTGTCATGGATTCCATAAGAATGCAGATATGAAAGTACTTCTGTCTCTTGAATTATTTACATTTTCAAACATTAAGATTAGAAACCTTAACTCACATATGTGTGTTTGTATATTAGTGCAGTCAGAATTGTTATGAAAAATTCGATTATTGTTAATAATAATTAAATTTTGTAAATTATACAAAGTTATTGAAGTTTTAAGACTAACTGCTAGATAAAGAATGAAACTGTATCAACATCCTGTATTTAGTTCTTAGAACATTGACTGGACACAAATCAAGTGTAAAATGTTTGGACTTCCATCCTTATGGTGACTTTATTGCATTTGGCTCTTTAGACACCAACATAAAGGTAAATTTTAAAGTCTTTCATATGACCTGTTTTGTGTTAATGTTTAATTTATTATCTTAAGTTAAAATTAATCATGAATGCAAGTGAGACAATATTTTCTTTGTGTGTTTTGACTTTCATATAATTTTCTTTTGCAATATTATAAGATTCATTTTGTATCCCCTCTTGGATTTATTGTCTTGGTAGAAATGACACAGGAAAGTGTAGTTTAGAGTTACTTTTCTAGCAGGAAAGTGTTTTTATATTTTACTTTTTTTTTATTATTGATTATTTCCATATTTGTTTCTTAATGCAAGTGTATCTTGAAACAATGATCTGAAACCAAATATATTCTGGTACACCCTTTTTTTTTCCTTTCTTAGCTATGGGACATAAGAAGAAAAGGTTGTATCTACACATATAAGGTAAGTCCAGATTTTCTGTTAGAATAATGTGTAATATGCACACTGTTGAATATTTTATTAGTTAACTTCTTGACTGTAAATGTTCTTTTGTTATTGTTTGTGTTGCATCTGCTTCTCTTATCCACCCATCAGACCACTCTTCTTTCATCCTCATATTTAGGGTATTCCCCGGAAATATATTTTAATGTTCTTTAATTCTTTAAACAGTTCATATTTATTTCTTAATGGATGATTCATAATTCATGGTAGTTACTAATGTGGTGCTTGTTAAACTTATAATTGTTGCTTTTGTGCTATTGGGTTAGAACTGTGACCTCATTTTGTGGAGTTTATTTAATTTGAAAGATTTTAATATTCCAAGTTTTATACAGTAATACATAATAAAAAATTGAAATGGTATGTGTATAACCATAAAACTAGGTATTTTATTATCCTATTGTATTGCATTAGGGCAGAAGTATAACGTTTTATGCTTGGAAGAAACTTAACTTTTTGCAGTGCAAGTGGATGCCTTTGAAAATATCGGCTAGTCCTATTAGCAATGGCAGTGTTAAAAACATACATAGATATATGTATGTTTGTACTGCAAGTTGTATTTATTTTCACAGAGAAATTTGTTTCTTTAAGCCTATATTTTTGTTTAACTTTCATTTTTTAATATCTATCTCATTACTTGTATAGAATATTTTTAGATAGAAAGTAAAATCTACTATAGAGAAGGTCAGGTGAGGTTAGTACTATCATATCCAATTGTACATGAAAACACCAAGAAAGTGGTATCTCATATCCTTGTTCTTAGTTCCTTTATTAACCTCCACAATAGCGATCTCAGCTATACTTATTTTTCTTCTTTCACTCGGTCATCCGACCTTTAGACATCTGACATTGCTATCTGTATATTTTCAGATTTAGAACAGTCTGATGTAATATACAAAATAGGAATTTTATTAAATAATAAAAACAGTAAGTTGATTGACTTATTTTCTGCTAGGGACACAGTAAGCCAGTTAATAACTTAAAGTTTAGTCCTGATGGAAGATGGATTGCATCTGCTGGAGATGATGGAACAGTTAAGGTAAGCAGTCTTTGTGTTATACTTAACATCTTACGTCAGTAATAAAAATCTACATTTGTATATAAATCTATTATTTAATGAAATTATTAAAACTGACAGCTTGTATTTCTATTTTCATATTTAAGATGAGTTTGCAGTTGAACATAAACTGTAATAAATAAATGTAGAAACTGCTGTGTTGAATGAAATAAAATTTTTATTTTCCGTACCATTGTTATAAGAAATGTACAAGTACATTATCATTTAACGAAAAACAAAGTTTTATAATTTAAATGTAACAACAGAATTGCTAATAATAGTGGTGTTTTTAGTTGTGTGACCATCTCAAACTGACCATAATATCTATATGTATGATGTCTACCTACAATCTAAGAAGAGTTAAACAAAATGAATCATTGATGTTTATGTACTGTTGTTCTTACTGAGGATATACTGATTTTTAAGTTTTTATTTGACTAACAGTGTGTGTGTGTTTGTATGAATGCTAATGTTTGTGATTAATCTCTTTTGTTAGTTGTGGGACCTACCTTCTGGTAAAATGTTAACAGAATTCAGGGGACACACAGGACCTGTCACTGATGTAGAGTTCCATCCCAATGAGTTTCTTTTAGCTAGTGGAAGCACAGATAGGCGAGTAACTCTTTAAAGACCTCCTTCAGATTTAATTCATTACTAGAGTGCAATCTTGATGTTAATTTAAGGTTTCTTACTAATAAATATATGACCATAAAGGTTGAAATTACAATTGTTTGTTAATGTAAACAACAATGAATTTCTTTAATTGCATATTTCTTTAAAACTAAGCTCTCATGTATGTTTGTATGATTAAACAGCTGATTTTATTTTTTGTGTATAGTAGTGTCAATCAACTTTTCTTTTTTGTCATTATTTGTAACTTTTCTTTAACTGTTTGATTTTAGTAAGTGACATTTTTCTGGAGTAAAACTGAAATTGTCCCCCAATGACACAGCGGTATGTTTGCGGACTTACATCGCTAGAATCCGGGTTTCGATACCCGTGGTGGGCAGAGCACAGATAGCCCATTGTGTTGCTTTGTGCTTAATTTCAAACAGACAAAAAAAGCTGAAATTGACAGGTAAATATCAAGTCTGCAATACAGGAAATTCTAAGAAATTGTATGCAGAGCGTCAACAGGTTAAACTTGACCAGAGAAATGGAGGTTAAACACTGTGGTTTAAACAACAGCAGCACTGATGGTAAATGAAAAAATGGCATGTGATAGCAATGTGAAAGAACTGTAGATAAATGTAGTTACAAATTCTAGCCATCTTCTCTAATTACTAACAGAGGACACAAAATAAATCTGATTGCATTGAAAACAAAGGTGATTCCAATCAAAATGAATTATTCCTGGGAACTAGATTGGAACTATGTTCAAGTTCAAGAAGCTCTTCCAGGGTTTTCTGTAATATCATATCAGAAGACCAGTCTCATTATCTTAAAAAGGAAAACAAAGGTTCACAGCACATCACCTCTACCTAATCTAGCACAACGATTGTCAGAAAAAAAGTAATTCAAGACTTGTTCTGTGCACTGACGACATATAGAGACAACTAACATCTGCACTACGAGTTATCACCAAAAGACAGAATTGAGTGTTATCCATAGCTGGATTAAAAAATCCTGTTCTCACAGGCAATATGTACTGACATTTTGAAAAATTACCTGGACATGCCTGAATAAACATGTATTAATTTTATAAGTTGTGAAAGGGTTAAGCCATAATACTTGCATATTACATTGCTTGTAATTGTGGTTGACCATTATTGTGTGACCTTATAGATTTAAAATGCAGTGCAAAGGTTAATATGTTGCTATTCAGAACACTAATTTGTTGAATTAATGGTTTATCTCACTTTGATAATGTCTTATTTTTTTAAAGACATTATGAAAACCAACCAACAATTTCTAGAGCGGTAACATCAACCAGAAATTTCACTAATAAGAAACTTTAGACTTTAAGCTTACTTAAGGCCACTAAAGGTATATGTGTGACAACCATATGAAATACATTTGTTTTTCTTTCTAGATCAGTTAGGTTTTGGGATTTGGAGAATTTCCAACAAGTTTCATCAAGTGATGGAGACTGTGGTCCAATTAGGCAAGTAATTAACCTTTTGGTAAGACTAGTGGCATATTTGTATGTGCTGTTTACTGTATGTGGATATTGGAGGTTAACTGAAAGGTTGCTTACTATCTGACCAGTGCTCAGCTATCCTTTCTTTATTCTAGAAATATATAGAAAGCTTTTTCCAAAATGTAACTAATGTGTATATAATTCAAATATATTTAATTTGTTTGCCTGAAGATTTCTTGGTGAATAATGTTAGGAATTACACTTTTTTAAATTTTAGTAACATTTTATATTAGAAATCAGCATCAACATTTGATTATTTATGCTTTATTTTATTTTGAATATTAAAATATTACTTTAATGAGCTGTTAAAGTTGAACAACCTAATTTGCATTTTAAACTAGCCTTATTTCAGCTTTATTTACATTATCACCAGTTGCAAAATATAGAACAAATTTGTTGTCTTTTATCAGAAATAATAGACATACACCTGGATAAAAAAACTCACTGTTATTTTTCCCATCAACTAGTTGTATATACTTCAGTCCTGATGGAGAATGTGTTTTTGGTGGATCTCAAGATGTGTTGAAAGTGTATGGCTGGGAACCATTTCGTACTTTTGACACCCTGGTGATGGGATGGGGAAGAGTTGCAGATATTTCAGTATCTCAGAATCAGCTGGTGAGTACATATGTAGAAAACATTTAACTAAAAAAAAAACGTTTGGATTTCAGAAGCTCAGTTTTTATTCTACATCTTAATAAAGAAAATATGATTTAGGTTTTGGGATTGAAACAAAAGATTTTTAATTGGGGCTGTTGTTTTGTTTGTTTGTTTTTAGATTGCAGGAGCTTTTTCCTTTACAAATGTGTGTGTCTATGTAGTAGATTTGAAAAGGGTACAGCCATTTGGAGCTCCTCCAGTTAGTCCAACTAAATCTTGTGCACCATATACTACTACTACTTCACCTGGGTAAGGTTTTTAATGGCTTTGTGAATTATAGATTTAAAAAGTTTTCTTTCTCTTTGCACCTTCATTTCTATCACAGAGTTATAAAACTTTATTAATAATTAGATATGGAAATACTTCCAAAGCTCTCTGTTAATGAGCACTAAAATCGGCTAAGCTCATTAACTTTTAATTTTCTTTTTCAAATGTTGGATATCATTGTCATTTCAGATGCTTTGAAAATACTTCATTAAAAATTTCTATGTGATGAGCAATTCTACTCTAAGAAATTAGAGAAGTTTAAGGTTTTTATCTTCTATAATAACTATAACCAAGTTATTGCTCAGTTCATAATTATATGTTTGAAGCTTTCTTATTTTTCTTCTGACAATGTCAGAATAAATAAGAATTTGTGCAATATCAGTTAAATTTCAAAGAGGTAAATAGAAGTGGGAGCATTATTTTTAGCATTTATATTTTTAACAAGATAAACCCAAGACATTGCAGAATTTTTGTAACTATGGATAAGGAGGTTTTCTCTATCATACAGTGAATGATCAGTTACAGAGAAGGCAGGTGTTTAATTTATACTCGTTTACTTTTATGTATATATGTGTATAGATATAGTTTAATACCAAATTTTCTTGTAAGAACATTAAGTCGTTCTCTTAAAAACTTATGTAGAAGCATCATCGACAATTGTTGTTTGTTCAGTTGTTTAATTTATACTTGTTTACTTTTATGTATACATGTGTATAGATATAGTTTAATACCAAATTTTCTTGTAAGAACATTAAGTCGTTCTCTAAAATCTTATGTAGAAGCATCATTGACAATTGTTGTTTGTTCAGTTGTTTAATTGTTTTTCTGCAAAAGTTTATTATTTCATTTCTTAGCAACCACATTAGAAAGAGCTTCATTAAAGGGCAAACAGCAGGTGATCAGACTTTGTAAGTTATTGAAATTTTCTAAATGGTTGTTATCTCTGTTCTTATATAATTTGAAATATTGTACTAAATAAATATTTGGTGAGGAACTTGCTAATAATTAACTCAAAAGTACAATAACAGCAACTATTACAGTAGGGAAATTCTGATTTGAATGTAACAAAGTTTTGACTCATAGTATCAGGTAACAGTTCTCCAGCTTTCCTTTAGCCAATGACTCTTCATCAGCAAAACCTCAGTGTCCCCTTTAAAGTCCAGCTTTGGTTCGTGAATAACTTGATTCGTTTTAAACTCTGTGATTTGATATCAAAGTGACAACTGAAATAAGACCCCCCATTTGTTAACTTACTCTATGTGTTCTATGTATTTTCCTCAGCTTGGTTAAAGAAAACTTATAAATATGCATGTCTTTGACCACATGTTTCATTGATAGTGTGGAACTTGTAGAAAATAAGAAAATTGTACATGAATTATATGTTTTTACTTTTAAGTTCAATAAATTCACACGTTTAGAGAGATTTTAGCATTATTTTGTTTAAAGGGTATCTAAGCTACACTGAAAACTGGTAGATTCTAAAGAATTTTGTTGAAATTTTAATCCTAAAAAAAACGAACTGTTTAAAATATGCTCATGCATAAAACGTTTGAATAAATGACAACAGGTATTGAGAAGTTAATGTGAAGTGGAATTTTAGTGAAAAAGAATGGGGGTTCACATAAGTTAGTTTTACAGATAATATGCACATGTGTTTCATATTTTCAGGTCACTGCAGGTACTGACAGGTGAAGACTCGGATAACCTTATTTCCCAGTCTGACTCTGGTGATGATCCTCAGTCCTGTGCTGACATAAAGGAACATAGCTACTACAACGAAATTTTTCATCCAGCTAGGGAGAGTGAGTAGTGGGCTTTCTTGGGTGACTATAATATAAAGCATTAACCTTTATGTGCATGGGTGAGGTCAAAATGCACATGCCATAACATTTTACAGTGTACCATTCAACATGGTATTATGTATTTCATGTCAAGGTTATCAACTATTTATTTTACCCTGCATTGATGATTTAGTGACAGTTTATTGTAGATGAGTGTAAATACTAGATACAGTATACTGGAATAAACCATATATATGTATTTTAGATGTTGTAGAAGCTGTTCAAATGCAATATACAAACTGTATAATGAACAAAAGTATTTTTATTCTTCACATGAACATCACCTTACACTCTTGACTTGTCAGATTCTGAGACAGACTTACATTGTTAATTCACAGACATATCTTGAGTACAAATACATTTGTAACATATCTGATTTTTTGTGTGCAACAGACTTCTACATATTTCTAAAATCCCATATTAATATTAGGTCCTCAAGGAATTAATGTTGCTTTTTATTTTTATTAAAAACCCGAACAACTTGTATATCAAAATAGAAAATTTATTAACTGAAATAGTCTCCATTGTTATCAATGATGCTTTTCCGTCTTATAATCAGATTGTTAATGCCCTGATTAAAGAAATCACTTGGCTTTGAATCAAAAAACATATTGATTTTTTCTTTAACTCCTTCCACACCTGCATTGAGAGTTCGCTGTGGATTGAGGAGTTTGAAATGAATTACCCATTTGATGTCCCACCAAATGCAAAGCATCACTTTCTGTGGATGGAGTCCAGGTTTTTGGGTTGGAAGTGGTTTTTGTCTAGAACTGAGCCATTGTTCTTGGCATTTAATATTCGCATAGAGAATTAATGTTTCATCAACGGTGGCAATTTTGTCCAAAAAATGGTTCATGTGCGTTGTGCACCAGATCATCAGAGAGTTTGTGAGGTGTCCAAATACCTTCTTTAAGAAGTTTTCTCATACTCCTTTGATGTTTACATATTGTTTCATAAGAGATGTGCAATTTCAGGGCCATTTCACGAATGTGTTGCCTTGGGTTAGACTCAACAAACATCTTCAGAG